AGAGAGCGACTTTTTATTACCCTCGAGGCCCAAAAAAGACAACCCTATGTCCCTATCAGAGCCGCGTTGGGAACCCGCGATATCTGCGATATGCAGTCGATTTATGTGTTTCTGCAAATGCCAAGTATAAGAATTTCATTCGTTTGTCTTTTGTCTCTCTTTATTAGTTTTTGTTTGTCTTGTCTCCCGTCTCTATGAGTCTCATAGTCGCCCACTGGTCACCATAGCCGGTCGAACTCCAGACGAATCTAGAACCGCACTACCGTTCATACTGGCGACAACGCTCTGATAAGACAACGAAACTCCACCCCAAGCTCCTCCCGTGATCCTATCCTTCAACAATGTACCCCTCTAACTTCGGGTAAGCCGCGAGTATTCGGCCCAACTCCTACGAGACATAGTATTAAGTGAATTTTGCTACAAACATAGAACAATGAACTATCGGCTCCGTAAAGCTAACGCGATTGAGCCTTCCAAATAAACTAACTAAATAAAACAAATCCTTTCCCTTTCGTTACAATAGGTGTCGTTTGTTTCAATAACGAACGCGTTACAATGCTCAGCTAAGGTAATTTGCCATTTCGTTCCGATAATGTGTTAGTATGTGTCTACATTAACCATTTAAAAAAAAAATAGAGTAAGCTGCGCGTGTGAACGAACATGACGTTCGTTTTTTTTTCTCGGAGTTTTTTATGCTTAATTTGGTTACTAATCCGGTTAACATTTTCGACGTTTGGACACTTCAAATTGGTTCTTCATAGGACGGGACTAGTTTATGTCAATCCCCATCAAGTGAACCGTCTTTGATTGGAACTACAATGCAACAATAGCACGGATGCTTCATGTGGATTCATTTGGACTAACTTGGTGAGATCGTATCTGATTTTATCTATATAAACTAAATGTACATGATTCTCTTAAATTAGGAAAATTCTTAATGGAGTTTTCTCGACACTGAAAATAAAATTTCGTTTATACAACGAAATCGCTCGTTTGTTCTACGAATTTATTTGTTGTTTTCTGCAACGAAATGGATTTGTACATTGTATGAAGCTAGTTTCGTTAGAACTGCCACACTCGCTATCGCAACACCCAACCAGCGGTCCACAAGTGTTGGTTGTGGAAACCGAAAAATGTGGAGTGTGTTAGTGAGGATGGGTAAAAATAATTTCATCATTGGAAGGAATAAATATGACAAAAAAATAAAAATAGGCTTTAGACCGGACTCGACTCATGAACCTTGCGATCGTCAGATCTGTGCTTTATCCATTGCTCTATCTGTTCTATGTGAAATGGTAAAGCTAAAGGCAAATAAGAAGCACTCATGTCGATGGAATAGTTCGCAAAAAATCACTATGACTCGCGAACTTTTCCCTTGGAGAACTTTGTGAAATATCGCGAACTTCTGCTGCTTGCATGTATTTTTTTTCTCTAACATAAAACCACCGGATGAGTAATTTTATTTATTGTGGTAGCTTGCATGTATTGGTCAACCCGAAAATATTTCTAAAAAAAAAATATCCCATCTCCAACACACAATCAGCACTTTAGGAGACAATAAGCGCAGTTGTTGGTTTGATTGTACGAAGATGTATTTGTACATTATACGAATAAGGCGTAAAATTGACATTGCGCCAGATGACAGAAAAAACTAATGTTTCGTACCATTTATGAAAGATGTGTTGTATGTACGATATTCAATTTTACGAAACGGTTTTCAGAGAAATAACGAAAATACATTTTCAGTGCACACATCACATTTTTGTGTATTTGAAATCATCATTGAACGCCAAATGTCTGCACATTTTTGAACATGTGGTGGAACATTACTGTAAATCTTATATTTTAAAACATTATATAATATATTGGGTTGGGGAGGGGCAGCCTAAGGGAATCAAAGGATTTGTTGACTGGGCGAGGGTTCGTGGATTTGCCAGTCCCTTGTCACGTGATTGCAGATGGTCATCTGGTCGTTTTGTCTTCCAAAGGTCTTCAATGAAGCTGATTCACCCTGCTGCAACAAACCATCAGGCAGAACTTTACAACCGGTAAAGTATCTGCAGACATTGGTAATACTTGCACTGATGGTGGGTTCCATTCACATCACATCACATCACATTAATCATTAAAAAAAAATTTGAAATCCTGAAGTATTCTAGGTTCTTCAAAATGTGCTGGAGCTAAGATCTTGTTATCCTGAAAATCCATATGAGTCCAAGAAGTGCAAGATAGCATTTTGACAACATACCCGACATGGCATGATATTAATGAGATACTTGTTGCTCTCCAAAGTACTCTGGTGATCAAATTTGAAAGATTTATGAAGTCTGGATCAATGTCCTGACAGTCTTTATGAGTCTTTTGTCGGTGCTCTCCAAAGTTTTCTGGAGCTCAGATCTTGAAGATCTACAGGCTCAATTAAGTCTTGAACAATGTCCTGAGAGTCTTTTTGAGTTCTTGAAGTTCAAATGAGCCCTCTGTCAACATTCACATCATCGGATGGTTTCAATAAGTCTTTTGTAAACATGCAAATCATCGAATGGTTTCAATAAGGTATTTAATGCTCTCCAAAGTTTCTGGAGCTCAGATCTTGAAGATCTACAGGATCAATGAAGTCTTGAACAATGTCTTGAGAGTCTTTTTGAGTTCTTGAAGTTCAAATGAGCCTTCTGTCAACATTCACATCATCGGATGGTTTCAATAAGATATTTAATGCTCTTCAAAGTATTCAGGAGTTCGTGGAAAACATGCACATCGTCAAATGAAGTAATTAATGCTCTCCTAAGTATTGCGCAGTCGAGATCTTTAAATTGTATTGACAACATCATCAAATGGTTTCAATAAGATATTAAATGCACTCCAATTTATTCTCAGGTTGAAATTTTAAATCTTCAAAGTTCTACAGGCTGAATGAAGACTAGAAAAATTTCCAGAAAATCTTTCTGCAGTGTGGTAAATTTGCGGATATATCCGTAGATATTTAAGATTTACTACCAATCTACCATAAAATTCTACGGGTTTTCCAAATTTTTAGGGATGTTTTAAAAAATGCAGAAGAAATTCTACGGATTCTCAAAACTTTGGCTCACCCGCCGCTCAAAAGTCTGAACTTTTTTAATGACGGTTTTTTGGAAACTGGTCAATAGATTTAGCAATAATGAATGCAGTGGAAACAAATTCACTTATCTACGGATCGTACTCCATGAAAAGATAACAACACTGTTGCTGACCGCTGACAAATGAATATAACAGAAACACATTACGCCATGTCATGGCGAACACGATTTACAGTTACGTTCGTGCGGGTCATCTTCCATTGATTTACAACTGCACCATCATCAATCATGTTATAGTGCATTTTTAAACCGCAAACGCCGATTTGCTTATATGGAATTAGTAACGCTAAAATTTGTTCAACATGTCGAACGATTGCGAGCCACGAGCGCTACTGCTATTCGATTGTATGCAAATTGGCCATACGTGTAATTATACACACTGATAACCGGCCATGTAAAATATACAAGTCAACCAGTGCAAAATTTTATTTTAATTTCGGTTGTAATTTAGTGTATCACATTTGAAATCACAATACAAATTATCGCTGCCTAATTGAGGATGCGACACGTCTGGCTTCGTTAATTTTATAGACGCAAACAACCAGTGTTCGTCGAATAGGAATTTACCTATAATGGTTGACGACAATATAGAGTAATCACTATACGGTTTGGAAATGATACTCGAAATAATTGACGTGTCCGTACAGATATGTAGTGGCACGGTATCAGACAATTCGCAGCTAGGAAATTATCACCACAATCAGAGGAGATTAGCCGACTCGACGCATTCCACACGTTGCTACGTTTAGACAATTTAGCAACTATCGCTGCTCTCGGTCGTATATTACTCATTAGTGTACTACGACTAAGCATCACTACTGAGAGCGGTCAACGAAAAAAATGCAGGGTAAATGACGGCTTCGGCAATACCTTTACCTATTATCGTCAGGGGGTCAACTGAAACATGATATATATTCATCCAAAAAATTAACATTTATGAACTTCACTGACGATAACGGGTACAGGTTTTCTCGAAAACGTCATTTACCCTATATGACGGTGATTGTGTGAGGCGAGAAACAGAAATTTCAAAGTGAATTGTATGACTTTCAGAAAACAAGACAACTCAGCATCAGTTATGAAACATGACCCTACCGGTGCTTTGCGACTGGAACGGCCCCCTTCTACCCCTTCTCCCAAGTACAGCACTGCATTTCGCCAAAAGAATAATGAATCACGGGCACGCGGGTCAGATTTAGTTTAATGTGTTTTAAACAACCAGTCTCAATTGATATGAACCGAACACAAACTAAACTACATCCGGCTTGTGTTCATCTATGTCTCTCTCTCTCTTTTTCAGAATAATCGTACAGGCCGCAATTGTTCGCATGCACATGGCAGAGGCTCAGTACTACGCGAAATGATTGTGTTGTACTTATCGAAGCTAGAAGTGCAGCGTCGGCGTCGAATCATCGTCAGTCAGCCGGCAGTTGTTTTATAGATGCAAAACATCACCATTGCCATTTCTTGCAGAAGAAGGGGCAAAACCGTGACCGATACCAGCAGCAACAGCAGTGAATACCGGGCCAAGTTCACGCGCCACAGTACTGTGTCAGTGTGTTTTGTGATACATATTTAATTCAGTGATACACCACCAATTGAAGCCAATTACTACAGCCAAAGTGTGACCGCGCCGGACGGAATCGAACATCTCCATTAGACACCAAAGAAAATAACGATCTACCATAGCCTACACACATAGGTCGTTAGTGAGTGTGCAAATCTGTGCTCCTCATCGTACAATCAAAACACGCATCAATCGAAGAAGAAGAAGAAAAAACTAGAACGGAGCACAGTAGAACCATCGAAATAGACCTTTTAGGACTGTTATTGATGGATCAACCAATCGACCGCAAACCATCGGTGCCACCACTACTGTTCTAGATGAAAGGACTCAACAGGACCAAATGTCGCATCGTTAGGCGCTTGTTTTTGTTTTTCGCCGCCCTTTCGGTCATCCCGTTCACGGTGCTCTATCTCATCACCTCGGATCATCTGTATCGATTTAGAGCGTACAATGTGAGTATACCTTCCTATTCCTATGGATGTAGACAGCTCCGGGGTAGCAGCTAGTAATGCGATTCCAATTTGTTAAATTGACATCTTCGACCCCTTCGATCCTTTCCTCAATCAAGCGCGCGGTGAAATTAATTGGAAATCGTCCAATTATCATCATCTTGCTACGACGCGCTTTTGCGATTGGTTCGAGCTATAAATTGGACTTAGCCAAAAATGAAACGCTCTCGTACCTGCGAATAATCATTGCCAAGGAGTGGGTAGTGATCCGGTAATTTACTAAGCACATTTCGATAAATGGAGTTTGCTGGCACGTTTGCTAGTTGGTTGATTTCTTGTTAATTTTCCTATAATTAAACGGACCGTTGTCACTTCCCTTTGATTGACACGCTGGACTGACTGATCCATAACTGTGGGGTTTAATCTTTCTTACTGGACATTTTCCTTAACTCGATGGATATTTGTACAATATATCTTACCTAACTCATCGATCGAAAAATGCATGTAAATGTACAATTTTTTAAGCGATTTAATCTTTTTTCTTCCCGTAGATTGTTTTGATCATAGTCATTTAGGGTGAATTTTAGAAAATTTATCACTGATCTTTAATCATCATCACAATGAAGTAATTGATTAAGATCAGTGATTAACAATTGATGCCTAAAACGTTCATAAATGCAAAATCTGGTTGATCGTTAATCATTAATCACTTAACGCTCCGATTTTAATCCTGTAGTTTCAAATTTTGAACAAAATTAAGTACAAGTTGTTTCAAAACTCTGGAAAACAAAATGAAAGAAAAATATGAAGGCTTTATATGTGCTGTTCCCATATAATGCCAGGAGCTAACCGAAAAACAATGAACCTCGCGTAAAAGTAGAATTTAGTGAAGGCCTAAGTGCAGATAATTTATGATAAAGATGGATAAATTGTGTGAGTTCGTCCCAGTTGAAAAACATTCTTATGTATTATCATGGCTCTTGATTACGGTTTCTTACCCGGCGGAATCGGTTTGGTTGTTGCGGTTAGGTACGTATGATGAGTTTAGCTTTTGCTCATTTTTTTATGCCCATACGATTATAATGATCGTGGTTGGTTTTCGACAACTTTCCAATGGCTATGTCGAACGGATTAGTCCATGATGAACAAATAAACACTGAGCTATCAAAATCAGCTCACATAATCTTCTTGAAAAATTTTGAGAAGCAGTGTCAGTTAAATGTTTTCTAAATGTTTATGATCATGCCAATGTCAGTATTGTTAGCGAACATGTATAAAATGTAACTGGTAATGTAATAAGTATACCAACATACGGTACGAGGCGGGGTCTAAAATTGTTAAAATATATGCAACGTCATTTATGGATGCTCCCTTATAAGTATCCGTATAAGTATTCTTCCAGAAAGTGTGTGTTTCAGCAAATGATTATATTTCTTCTTCATCTTCTACTTTTAACTGCGTTCAGGAATATTTAACTTAACGAAAATTAAATAAAAGTGCTCTCCACATTTGTCTGCGTCACTAATACTAATTTACGTCAATTTTGAGATAACAACGCTAACCACTATCAATTGGCATCTACTTTCATATTATCTAATCTAATCTAATCTAATACAAACGCAGCCAGTACGAGAAAGCATCCTGGAAAATGATTATGTTAGATAAGGTCTAATAATATTTCTTGTCTAATTGATGTTTACATCATATCTGAGGTATGATATAAACATCAATAAGGCCAGGCGTACTGCGTTGTATTTGCCGCAAAGATGATTCTTGGAAATGAATGGGAACATTTCTAGAATCTACAGTGGAGGAAGGATGCGTGGACATACCGTACCAAACGCTCCGAGATACTATGTGTAGTTGTGTGTAATGTGTATATATTTGTAAAATATTGAAGAATCATAAAATAATGCAATGGAAGGATCTTACCGAATTTTTTCCTATGTTGGTAATGCTTCTTATGCGCTTAAAAGTTTCATTGGATGCATCCGCTCCTTGTTTATCATGGGGTTTGGGATGCAGTTCTCGTGGTTATGTTTAGTGATGTGATGGAGATCATTTCTTTCTCTAGAAACTACTACTCCTGGCTGATCCGCCAGCCTTGCATCGAGCTGGAACCGCAAGCAAGTAAATCAATTGCCTCCTCGCTCGAATCCTTCGTTGTGAGTGATACGCGCCCATTTTGGGTAGCAGGCAGCAGCACTTTGCAGGAGAAAATGTGCACGTTCGATTTTAACCTACTTCGACTGGATATCACCGTTACCTCCTGGACTTATTTTGGAACTTCCGGCTTCCGGATCGTTACGCACTTGTAACTAAACCCAAAAGGACACGATTCAACAGTGTAAATTAGAAAATTCAACGGAGATCTGCTTTTCGCAACGTTTCACGGCGGCGGCGAAGGAAGAAAAACCCGGTTTGTTCACTCTCGGTAATCTTAAAAACTCTTTCGATCCTATTTTTGTTAAATAACCAAACACAGCACTAATAAACACACGCAAAATTATTGAAAAAGTTTTCAGGTGTCCAAAATGCACCAGCTAAAGGACTTATTGCACTAAATTTTCAATAAACATCTCGGAAAATAAAGCAGCAGCAAATTCAAAACACGTCAGTTTCAATGCACGGCCTACCTCGATCCATCTAATTTACTTTCATATTATGTGATAAAACTATGGACTTTGATCATGAATAATGTGCAAAATAATCGCATATTAGTCTCATCCTGAAATTCAACCGTTATATTTCAAGTAAAGGTCTGCTTTTCGAATTGCCATATTTTTCGCTGATATAACAAAACATGCAAGCTTCATTGCAACAAGGTTTAACTTGAAAAAATTATCATTAAATTTACTATGATTTTTCAGATATTTACATGGGAATTGCACTTCGTAACTTCGACTGCCATTTTCTCAATGCCTACTTTTTCCATATGGGACTGATATGCGATTATAGGCAGTATAGCAAGACATCATTCTATTCAATGGACTATTTTTGGCATCGTCTGTTCTTTGATTGTTAATGCTAAACAAATTTCTATTCCGTAGTGACCAAGTGGGAGCATAAAAATTGATATTTTCTAAAACCTCTGGGCTGTTAACTCTTTGCGAAATTACATCGTTTATAAAAGCAATCATTGCGAACTCTCCTCGCTTTTTGAGCTCATGTAAATTAATTAACATACAACGCGATTCATAAGGTGAAAGTGGAAAACTCGTCCTTAGTTAGAGCAAACCATAAGAACTGCTTTTGAACTGATTCAATGCGGTATGCATGTGTATCATGAAATGGAGCCCAAACTATGCTACAATAAACTCTGGAACGCGCAAAAATTGGTTGACTTCAAATTGGTGCCTTTCTGTCAAAAATGTATTTAAAAAACCTGAAATATCGCGTCACTTTTCAAATAGACTAATGTAACAAATGTAAACAAATCGAGTTAAGCGATACAAACTATTGCTCTTCTGTCATTGTATGTGATACAAAAACATCCATCCAAATTTACTTTCATTTATTTAAGATAATCATTGATCAAAAATTGTCCAATGTACAGTTTGAAATGATGGGTACATGATTGTTACTTCGGTCATTCGGACTGCCTAACATGATTGGTGCTCATTTTCCAAAGGCGGGGCCAATCTAAAGTTAGGTACTATACTCTGAAATCTGTGAAAGGGAATCTAGTATCATGTAGACAAAACATCCAATGTAACACTCATTGATTATGTCATTGAGAAAAATCGTCCAATGTAACATGTCCGATGTACAACTCGACTTGTCAAAACGTCCTATGTGGTTTTTTCTATGTTGTAGCATGAAATTCAAAGTAAAATTGTGATTTTACCGTTTCTCCTGAATTTTCAACGTTATTATACACTGACTAGGGGAAACGCTCCTATAGTTGTGGTACGTTAGAAGCGTTAGGTTCCTTTAGTTGTGTACGGAGTCTCCCTACATTAAAAATAGTATTGCAAAATGTATTGTTTTTAAACAGTTAAAATAATAATCTGTCGAACTTCAACTTCGATTTTCTCAAAATGGTGGATATGTTACATTGGTCTATTTGAAAAGTGACGCGAGAAATGCTGCATTTGGAAGTTGAGTGGATATACAATGGTTGCTATGATGAGTTTTCACCGTTTGCTCTCCACTTTTCAAAATGACGTCCAAGCAAGAGGAGCAGCGTGTCAAAATTTTACTCGCGCAGCAAGAGAATCCGACGTTCGCGCGACGTTTGCCAAATTGGCAAAATGTGGAAGTGTTCGGGGAGCGTCTGTCGACCGCTAGGAAGCCTGGAAGCGGTGGCAATCGTAATCCTGACGTGGCAGCGACGACGAAGAAGGTGGCAGTGAAATATAAGCGGAATCCTAACCTCTCCATCTGGGACGTCGCTGGAAAGCTCAATGTCTCCCATATTACTGTGCAGCGGGCCAAGAAACAAAACACGTCAACATAGCAACGGTCCCGAAAGCTGTATACGAATCTGCTCACAAAGTTCGACTGTGTCGTCATGGACGACGAAACTTATGTGAAGGCGGATTTCAAGCAGCTTCCGGGACAGGAGTTTTATACCGCATCAGGAAAAAGGAAGGTGGCTGAAATTTTAAAAATATCTCGTCTGGCAGGCCATATTGCACGTGTGGTCTAAAAAGTGGCATTTTCATTACTGCGGGAACCATCAATCAAGAGATCTACGTCCAGGAGTGCCTGGAAAAGCGGCTGCTACCATTCCTAAAGCAACATCATAGACCTGTTCTGTTCTGGCCGGACTTGGCGAGGTGCCACTATGGGAAAAAGGCAATCGAGTGGTACGATGCGAACAACGTGGTTGTGGTACCCAAAGACCACAACCCTCCCAACAGCCCAGAACTTCGTCCTATCGAACGGTATAAGAGCGGTTCCACGAACAAGTGGGAAATTTTTCCAGTTTTTATTTTTTGTATTTTTTGATTTGCATGAAACCTTGCATACAAGTTTTTGGGGAAGAAAAACGCCGTTTT